CCAAATTGGTTGTGCTCTGCGATGTTTTCATATCAAGCGCATTGTGCGCATGGTTGTCCTATGCGAGAATTTGTCCTCTCCAATCAAGGACATGGTCTCACCGATGACTTAATTCCGCCAAATGACGTATCAGGGAATCAGGGATCTCCGAATGGTCGCCACTCTTATGGAACTCCACAGCATGTGGCATCCGAATCGGCCAGCAGGATAGAAGTGTCAACAATGGTGGATGTGTTCAATCTGGTCAATCCGATGGCCCACATCGTGCCTGAGCCAAATCCACCAGATTCCATCCAAGTGATTGTAGAAATAAGGTGGCTGCGACCAGGTCATAATGGAATAGAATGGGAAAGGTAAAGAATCTCTCAAAAATATTCATGGAACTAGTTGCACATGTGGCCCAAGTACAATCACGAGGAGCGTCCAGACATCGTAAGATATACCAAGAGACCTGTCGCCTATCTGGATGTGGATTGGGATGCAATGGTTGCTTGCAGAGTGGAACCACATTACCTTCCTCCTCAAATGACATGTTAGACCGCCCCTATTTATTTCATGGCTGATTGGCGTAAGTCCCTGCTTCTCAAATCTGCATGGATCAAGAAAATGCCACTGATAGATCACTGCCTTCAGTGCGCACTTGATCGAGATAGAGCTCATCAAGTGACGACAATGTCAATGGATTCTGAACAACCTGCAAGCCTGGACAGAGTGCTGATTAAAACGAAGTGCTTAATGGGCGCTTTGATTTCATCAAGCCTATTCTACGGATTTCTGTTAGCGTTGGCGTGACATGTGCAGCCAAACATGTGGAAGGGTTACCGGCCCACAGTGGGGAGGTGGTGAGAATTTCCTCACACGATTTTCTGTGATTCTTGGGAAGGCATTCTCCCACTGCCAATTCTCCACCACAAACTTTCCTACTTCTTTCGTATTTTGGTTTTTTTTGTAGATCTGCCGATTGCAGCCATCTGTGGGCAAATTATTTCGAACAAAATGCACGTCTGCATAGTTGCATTTAGTATTTCCCCACATGCGTTTTGTGAGCACGGTCCAACAATGCTGTTCAGCAAAGGGGCACATCGATCCCCTCACTTCAGTAGAGCAACGACTGACCACCGCCAACTTGCTCACTTTCGCATTTGAGTCGCTCATTTAGTGAAAGGCCAGAACGGGTGGGTGATAACAACACTCGAGGTCACACAAGGGCGCCTCTTCTTGCTCTCTTTCTCTACCACCCTGCTCGCTTGGGCCAGCCAGATGACGACATCCCATCAACACAAATCCATCTACACACGGTGGCAAAGTGCCAAATGCTGCCTCACTAACTTCATCTTATGCCATCATCTGGGCTTCTAGATAGCCTGCCTACTTTAGATACTTAAATCTCATTGAAAATTACACCTTGTAGGCTCAAGTACCCGTTTGGGAAACTTCCAGACCTATTGCAAAGTGGCTTATTTATACTTACTTCTTCCACCAACAAAGTCATCACAGTTGTTGTGTAAAGG